ATCCACTCCGTCACCAGAGAGGTCCCCTCAGTTCCCGTAACACAACATGTGTTACCTCAGTGCAGCCCCAGTAAATAGGCAGTTTCATACTACTTGTATGATCTGAGAATTAATATTTTTTAGTGTTTAAGAATTTATATAAAACGTAGGTCTAACGTTAAAACAAAACTAAATCACAAAACCAATTTCCGTTTCATTACCCTCCCCTCAAGATTATATGCGTCCCGCATATGATTAACTATTTACAATTTTTTTTTTTACATCTATATACAATTCTTTGCAATGCCTGACAATTTGTGACATCTCCCTAGGCATCTATGAATGCATCTTTGCCCAGAGTTTCTCATCACCAGGTGCTGATGCGTAGGCCAAACTGGTTAGTCGTTTAATGGCCTAACCTAACTCTGGTACCTGACTCAGATGCTCTTTGCCTTCGTTCTTTTAGCATGTGGAACACGATACAGATCTATTTGGTTAGGAGGGGAGAACCTTTCCTCAAGGGATCTGACAAGTGTCATATAGTACTGACCAGTATCACTTGGTAAGTCACCTAACACTGTGTTTGGCCACGCAGTGATACAGCCAGGTAAAAACCCTTCCTATCCTCTGTCCAGCCGTTTACAACAGCGCAAGCCTGTATTCAAAATGGTGCTATACAGGGGTCAAAAAATAGAACGCCTAAAAGAGCGAAAATTTGCACATGTTTTCCTTTTAAAATATTTTGTTAAGACATGTTGAACAAAAGTTGTGCATAATTGCAAGGGCTTTCATATGATACTATTCAAAAGGGGCTGGCCCCTTTGATTAGGGATTTAGGGAGCTTGAAAGTTTTTGCTTTATAACTCAAAAACGGTAAATATTTCGATCTGGATTATACGAACAAAATTGTTCTTTGACACCTTTTTAATCTGATGAAAATGTTTTTGTGTTCGATTATACCGGGGGTATTGCGTAATACGTAGTTGAAAGCAGGCCAGGTAAACAGGTAGCGTTTTTCATTCGGAAAGGAAATCAGACCTTTTCAATCAGTAATAAACCCTATGGTATTTAATGTTAATTTTCTTCTAAATAGGGCTTTATACGTGCTTTACGGTTCACTATTAAATTATTTATAACGATTAGTCTTTCTTTTTTATTTATCATAAATTAGTTTTATAGTGAACACGTCTTCATAAACGGAATATATTAAATCTTTCTTTCTACATTGATTATTATAACAATAATAAGTTATTTTAACTTTATGCATCGAATAATTCACGATCATTAGTTGTATACATTTGGCGATCTCCAAGATCGCCTAGATGTTTGTAACAGTTATGTAATCCAACGCGAAATCCCACGCTGTCGATCGAGGTCACTAGTGTACCAGCCACCTGTAGTAAACAATGCAAGTGTCTGTGATCGTGTTTAAAATCCATTGTGTACAAAGACCTATCAATTTATAGAAAATCATGTTTTTAATTTATCGAATCAATAAGAATACTTCACCGATCTTTCATTTAAACAATATTACGCGGTTTATGTATTTTTCTGCAATAGCTGCGACCGTTCATTCCAGTAACAACAAACAAAGAAAGCGTTTTATTGTTTATATTTATATCTGTTTAAATAATCAATTAAAGTAGGATTTAAAAGATTAATTATTGTATTAATGATGCGAACGTCTTTAAATGTCTCATTGATGGAACAGCCACTGATTAAGAAATCTGTACAGGCGACCTGCCTATTGTATAGTTTATGCAGTGATGAACGCAATGGGGTTTCTTAAGAAATAAAGGAGAAAATATTCAGTGGATGTAAATATTTAATCGTAATTCGAAACACTTATGCATAAAATCATTTTGAATTGTGATCGCTTTCTTTGGCCTGTTCACGCAAAATTATTTCTCTATTCCGTTTTAATGTATTTTATTTAAATTGTAATTGAAAAGGGGCTTCGGCAAATAATTATAATTAGTGATGGAAGTCTTGTGATACGTAATATACTATTATGTACGTTTTATTTTTACCATCACTCTTTTGTTTTTCCGTTATTTTTTTTAATATTAATAAACATTGAACGTTAAAAAAATACTTTAAAATATACTATTATTCACGTATTTGTAATAAACAGTTTACATCCAGCTTTGTCACTTTGTGTCTAAAATTTTGTAGCCCAGTCCTCATTTACAAGCACGTGTCCGCAGATAGCGGCGGGTATGTGGATTTGAAAATCCGTTGTGTACTCCGATAGTTACAAATGGAAAATTGGGTTTGAATTCGTGTCAACTCCTTTCATATCATTCAATTTCACTCTATTTCAGCTTGTTTTAAAATCAATCGTAATCGCTTGTGGATTTATTCATTTCAAGTTTGAATAGCTGAAAAAAAAACATGAGCTACGTTTACATCATTTTTTCCTGTATTTATTGAAGTGGTAATTGTTTTATGAATCTTAAACTACATGTACACATGCATGATAATTGTAAGTGGAGTTAACGTTTCTAATTCACAGGGGGAAATCCAAAATGACATTAAGCACTTTTGAGTTTGCAGTTATTTGCTACTAAACTTAAAATGATATTGTACAGAATGGTATACTATTTCGTCCAATAAACAGAATATTTTACATGCCTGTACATGTACAATGTCAGTACGAATTTAATTGATGCAAAGCATCAAATTGGCTGCAAAGCAAAAAAATTCTTTCACATGCAAGGAAAGCACAACAAGATATTCAAAGCTGAAATAGTTTTTCAATTCTATTTCAGGCTGTTTTCAAAGCAAAATAAAAAATAATTTTACCGCATTTGCTCATAAATAGATTTATCGATGTTAAAAAAAATTCATGTTCATTGATGTATAAGAAGAATTTATTGTCATCAAAATGAAGGTGTAGGCCTGTCCGAGCCTCGATACCCTGAATCTTGATTACGTGATAATGCTCATGGTTTCTGCAGAGCAGGCTATGCTGTAAACCGCAGTGCAAAATTAAAGAAAATATCTTCATAATCTTTGTGTCATTTGTAGATGTAGAGGAAATTCAAAACAATTTTTACTAGAAGTTGAAAAACTCCTCATTTTTTTTATTCACCATGCACTTTAACCACATCATCATTATCCGGAAAATCAAGAGATTTCTTTTCAAATCTTACACACTCTCAGGCTGGGGAGTATCTGATGTAAACTCTTTTTATATGACCATAAATTATTGATGATCATGAGATTTTAATGACAATGAAATTGAAATATATTTCAACATTTAATTCTAAGTTTAAGCAAGTTTTTAAAATATTTTACGCATGATTTTTACTTGTTATAATTTTCGAATTATTTTATTGAAGTAATAAAAAAACGTCTCATTTCCCCATGTGCACTCTCTTACACAATCACAAAAAGATTGGCCGCTACCGCAGCCGATAATAATTACATGTTTTATATTTATGAACTTTTACATAGAAGAGCGGCCAAACATATACATCCAGAGCTTTCAGAATACGATTTTACAAAATTAGAAAATTCGTTATTGCCTATTTATCATAAAATATAAATTAAATTCTTTCCTTAATTTTTGAATTCCTATGTATTTAACTAGGTACTTAAACTATCGATTCGCTCTGATATTTGGTTGTATAATGATTACAATGTATATAAACGTCCATCTGGTCAGTCATTGTTGCTTGACGACGTCTTGTTTTCTTCTCTCACATTGGTAGCACGTATGAACAGCGGTATAAACGCAAGCTTGTAGTTGTAAACAAAATAAAAGGCAATTCACAAAAAAGGAAAACCAGAAGAAAAAAAGTTTCTGTGTAGATGAAAAACACAACTCATTAATTTGTTTTTGAACGACACCATACGTTTTTTTTCTTTCTCCCATGCATTTCGACTATACGGAAAAAAGATCATTAGAACCTTTGGTTATATTAAAAGAAAGGTGTTGGACCTTCAAACGGCACTATATCCGAACAGCTATTATACAGCCTATCAAATATATCACGGCGTCAATAAAAGAATTATTTAGATATTTCAAAAAATACTAATTTCATTCTAAGAAAAGCCACGCAGCTGTATACAGACATTCCGAAATAATGTTTCATGGACCGACAGGTGATTAAATTCCTCTCATCACTATAAGTACCCCATCCCTTAAAATGAATACAATGTCTTCCTTCTAAGCAGAGAATGTCAGTTGGTTGATTTGTTTTTGTACATGCATATATACATGTAGTTTAGGGGTTGAATTCCGAGACTGAAAGTTACGACCTATTTTTATATAAACCAATAATCATACATGACATGTTATGCCCTGCCATGAAAATGGCCAAGGCATTTGGTGTTTGTCGGACGTCTTCCATCCTTCCTACTTTCTGTCCTTCCGTCTGTCCTTCTGTCACACTTTGCCTTTAGCTCAGTTCAAAGCTCAGTTTCAAACAAACTTTCCAAGATATTTTTTATCAATCTTCACATACTGATAGAAATTAATTAGAGTTATGCAATTGCATTAACATTTTTTTAAACTTGACTTTATATACATGTATATACCTCACTTTTCTTAAATTAGTGTTTAGCTCAGTTTTAAACATACCATTCAAAATGTTGTTATCAAACTTCACATGTTGATGCATACTGATGAGAGCTGTTTAATGGCATCACCATTTTTGAACTTGGCCTTTCTTTTGACCTTGACCTAACTCATTTTATCTCAATTTTAGCTCTAACGAGAGTTAGATATTGCTTAGCACAAGGTCATTTGGAAAGATCAAGGTCAAACATACTAGTATTCCTTTACAGTCTTTTTCCTAGCAAAAAATTGTAAGTTGCTTCTCTTACAAGGTTTTTTACTTGTATATCTTTAGTATGTGGCTTTTGACCTCGACTCAAGGCTACGTCTTCTAGTCTGTAGCTCCAACGGAAGACCTATTCGTTGCTTTGCAACGAGCTCGGCTCTAGTTCACGAACTTTTTGATAACCCCTCGTACAACTGATAAAAAAAGAGTTATTCACGCAACGACCTAGATAAAATATACCGTGTCACATAAACACATTCACAGAGGGGATACTGCAGCTTAACGACTAACTACTATGGATGACACACATGTATCAGAACTTGAATGGCCCAGTTATGGAGAAATGTACCTGCCCAAGCTTGTGCCATTCTTAAAAGACGCGGAACATGCACTGAAATACATAAGGGACATGAAACTTGGAGAAAATGCTATAATTCTGGCAACATTTCCAAGATCAGGTCTGTAATAACCTCACAAAGGTTGAGTACATTCATATGTTATTATTTATGAAATACATGTATAGTTCATGGACGTAATTACGATATGATATAAATACCCCCTTAAATATGGACAAATTATCAAAGTACATATAAGTCCTTGTATAAAAAGTTTCTTAACCATGCATTCTTTTAAAAATATGAAAGAAGAAGGTATGGTTTTAGCTTTACTGCGCCCTAAAAATGTAATGACATCAAAAAGTTTTGAAACTGGCTTAAATATTAGTTAAATAAATGACTCTGATAAATCAGTAAAGAATATAGCCTGAAGGTTTACCATTCTGCAAATATGACGTCACTAATGTGAAGCATTTCTCTATTTTCAACCAAAAAAGCCTCAAAATGGCACATTTCAAGGGTGATTTTCTTTAAGAAAACAGTGTCCACAGCCGTCGCCCACGTTAATTTTTTGATATTTTGTGCAAAATTCAATAGCAAATCACATATCTCAAGATCTTTGTGGGCGATGCCTGTGGACATTGTTATCTGAAAGAAAATTCCATTGAAAATTGGTGTCTTCTGCAACTTTATAAGAAAATACGGGAAAATGCACATGTTTATGACGTCATAATTAGTATTTCAAAACACATGTGAGAAAAATGACTTGTGTGATTTTTCTGCATTGAATTTCAATTTTTTGAAAAGCATGAGTTTTCAACTTTTACACCAGTTTCATTTTTTAGAAAATCACAGGGCAAAATTTGTATGGAAACCATACCTTCTTCTTTACTTCTAGTCATTTTAAAGCTTAGGAAGAAATTCTTCAAAATCATGTCAGTTTTGAATATTTTTTAATATCCCGAACAACCAAAATAAATTTGAATTACCATATCTATATTGGATTTTGGAACTTCATGAAAATCTTTAAAAAGATAGATAGCGGGTTCTAGTATAGAGGAGAAGGAGAAACTTCAAGAGTACCATGCAACAATATCTTCGTGAAGTGGTGAAAATCAGATGTGAATACATATGTACTTAAAAATACCAAAAGTCTAATGGACAATCTGAAATCACAAGATTTTACAAAAACCGACAGCTTAAAAACTTACGACTTTTCAATCTCATGCACAACCATTCCCGACGATGAATTAATGTCCAGGCCTTTTAATTTCGTTGACAGATGCTTTTTCAAGAACAGAAGAACTCGTAAATTTACTTAACTTGTCATTGGTCATTTGCAAAATTATTTTGTTAAAAACATTCCTATTGTACACACAAGTACTCTGAAGTTGACATCCAAAAGATGGTTGAGTTTTTGATTGACAATATCTATATGGTTTTTGGAGACCAGGTCTTTCAGCAATCTGTTGGAATTCTCATGGGTTCTACTTCCCGCCGTTATTAGGAGACCTATTTTTGTATTCATATGAAGCAGAACTTGTCCAAATTCATACAAGTAAAATGAAGGAAAGATTTGCTTTCACCGTCAACTCGACATTTGATATATAAATGACGTATTGTCAATTAACAATGGTTATTTCAATTATAACGTCATTTCGATTTATCCCTGTGAGCTTGAGAAAAAAGATACCATAGAGTCGGATACATCTGTTTCATATTTGGATATTTTACTTGAAAAAGGCGCTAATGATTATCTAACAAACATGATAAACGTGTTGACTTTTACTTTTCAATCGTCAACTCCCTTACTTAATTATGCAGCAATATACCTTCATTACCTGCATACGGAGTTTATATCTTTCGGTCGATGCGCATATACAATTTCTAAAACAAGCTAAAATATTCACAAACAAGTTGATGAAACAAGGATATCAGCAGCCTCCTTTAAAGTCGTCAATTTTAAGTTCTATGGTCGATGCAATGACATTATCAGCAAATACAATTTATCCTTTTTTTAAGTTTTCCATACCAATTGTTAATGCACTATTTACACACTGAATGGATGACGTTTTTTTTCGTTATTTCCCGATCATGACTAAGAGTGACCGGTCGGCAGGGTATGCTTACTCCTTCGTGGCACCTGATCCCCTCCCTCTGATATTTTGGAGGTCTTTGTTTGCTCTGCTCCTATTTTGTATTGTTTATGGATTTTGATCTTGAATATTGTTCGTTATCTCAGTTTTTTTTACGAAGAAAATGAGTTGCTGATGGAAGATTTCTGAATGGGCTTAAAAAATACATACAACCAAATATTAACCATACACTGTATGTGACCTGAATTAAATGCATATGACTCAAAAATATATAAGTATCATAATCCATTTTTTCCCTCATATCAAAAAAAAACTACGGTCACCGTCAAATTTTTTTTATTCATGTTGGTGTACTTGTTTATTAAAGGTACCCATTGGGTATGGGAGATAATGGGCATGCTTCTGAGGGGAAAAGCCGAGTATTCTACGGTGACTAGGGAACAGGTTTTCGTAGAGGGATTGTCGGACATGAGTCAGATGCAGGGTTATAATGGTGTCATGAGCACCCATGTTCCATTTCAATGGCTGTCAAAACAACATGTGGATAAAGGCAGGAAAATAGTATACGTTGTGCGTAACCCGAAAGATGTCGCTGTGTCTTTGTTTAAATTTCTTTCATCATGTGGATATCTATTACCTGGCCCGAGCTTTGAAAATTTTTTTGACGAACTTTACATTGGACGAAGTAAGAATTTAAGATAATAATTTTCTTAGGCCTTTTCAAATTCTCTTTTTTAAAATAATAATAACGATCTATATAATATTTAAATCTTGAAAAGAAGTCTTTTTTCCATTTATTCAGAGGCGATGTACGGGGGATGGTTTGAGTATAATAAAAAGTTTATCGAAGAAGCCACTGTTCGAAAAGATCAAATATTGATGATACAATACGAGAAACTGCAAAGAGTAAGTAAATATTAAATAAAAAATCCTCTCAAGGTTTAAAACTGTTACACAAGGACAAAAAAAATTCTCCAAAAATCAGTTTAACGTTAGTTTTTATTGATAATGTTTGATACCATGGTACTGATTGTAGAATTTGCGAAATAATGACGTTAAAACGGAACTAATAAAAAAAGTTTTGTAAAATAAAATTCAAGGTTTCACACACTTTTTATAGATATTGATTAAATTAATATTTTTAGCACTAAACTACTTTTAACTAACAAACATAAAATGTAAAAAGTTAAAATTTTTCATAAAGATAAATATTTCTAAGATATTTAAAATTGAGCATTTTGTGATCTTTTCTACGTTTAACAATTGTAAATCAATACGTTTCCTTGACACCATTGTTCCTAAGAATGGTATTCGGTGGGGCAAATGTTTCACGATTTATATATATAATATTCCTACACATAATGTTTAAAAACATTTTTAAAATTTAGATTTCCATTATTTACATGTTTTGAGCATGAACTTGATAGAATAGTACCCGCGAATAAAAAGATAAATTACAGTTTTTAAATAACTCATGTACCTCGTTACTAATTGGAAAAAAGAGAAGAAATATTTGAACCAATAAGGATATAAAAAGATTAAATTACTTTTGAAATACAATATTACGATGTCATCGTGAAAAAAATAAAGTTATGTAGGCCACTGTGAGCGGTCAACAGGGAATGCTTACCTCTTTTCATAAATTTCCTTTCTTTGGTATTTTTTATTCAAAGGCAATCAGTGCTTACTGCCCATATCCTATTCACTTACTTAATTTCCTTGTATCATTTTCATTTTACCTGTACTCCTAAAAGATCCCCTTTATCACATGTTTTGTTTATTTCGGCGAGCTGAAGTTCACGAAATACACCGGATAACAGATATTTTAAAAAATGAATTTTCATAAGGTGCGTTACTCAGTTTGTTTGCATTGTTGTAACTGAGATACTAAAACTATGTTTGTGTTCATTGTCCGCATATCTTTGCTAAATTCTTTGGGTTAACTACAATTAATGGAAGAGCCAATGCAACGTGAACATCTTTCGCGAGACTTTTCAATTGAAAAACAAGATGTGTGTGTGAAACACTATGAGCACGCGGCAACAAAGTTCGAAAAAGCTATTTTTAGCATATAGGTCACAGTCAAGGTCACAAGGTCAATGACCTGGATGTCATTTGAAAGAACTTAATTAGTGAAGTATGCAAACCAAATATGAAGTCTCTATCTCCTTTGGTTCAAAAGTAATTGCGAAAGTTCGAAAGAGCTGTTTTTAGCATATAGGTCACAGTCAAAGTAACAAGGCCATTCATCTCTCATTGTTCAAAAGTTATGGTCAAGGTTAAAGTTGACAACAGACAGACAGACACACAGACAAACAGATAAACAGACAAACATACAGGACAAAAACAATATACGCCCGGGATCTATCGATCCGGGCGCATAATTAGAAATGAATTGAATTTGATCTTCGCTATAACGATGCACTTTCACCGTATTCCACGTTTGTGATGTCAATATATCAAATTTTTAAGAAAATCATAATTTATCCTTTTGATTCTGCAAATATTTAGCAAGATATCCATGGAATGTATATCTGTCTCTTTGTCTTAGAGAGATGTTACAGTAAAATTGAGGGATACAATTTAAAAAGTATCTCCAAAGAGAAAGAATTGTTATACCTTTAGAAATTTGTTCCTATACAATTCTATACGAAAAAAAGTCTAACATTTTTAATGTTTTGCTGAGCGGGCATAAAAAAATCGATGTTGGACCGCTGAGTGAGATGTTGGACCGCTCGGAGAGATGTTGGACCGCTTACGTCACAGAGTGGGCGGAGCTTAATCTCATTTTCATTCGCTGGTGTTAAACTGTGATAGATCTGGTGTTACATCACGGAATAAAGTACAAAATACATGTAAATAAAAAAAAAATAAATAAAATAAAATGAAAGGTATAACAAAACATTTATTGACAGAGTTCTCGGGCAAAATGCGTTTTGTCGCACCCTCGAACCAAACTGTCTGCCTTCGGCCTAACGGCCTCAGGCAGACAGTTTGGTTCTTGGGTCCGACAAAACGCATGTTGCCCTCGAACTCAGTCAATAAATGTATAATGTTTCCTGAAATGAAAATATGTTAAATAAATTGATATCAAATATTGTGTTTGGTAAATAAAAAGATGTCATTCTTTGTCCAAGTACGCGTGATATCTTATGCCATTGTAATACTTGTTGACAACTTTATTTCCTTGACACTTAGAATAAGTTTATAAGCTAAAGTTTTGAAACATTTAACCGAGAAATGAGAGTTGTTCGTATAAAACAGCAGGTCTTTATAACGTTCAATTGTTTTATGATCTTTTTGCATGGGCACTTTAAATTTATTATGATGATATTATGATGATATCTCCATATATTAATGTCTATCCTGTGTTTCTTGCATACTTTAAAGAACACAGAAGCAGAGATTCGGAGATTGGCTGACTTTTTGGGAGTTAAAGATGAAAACGGACTAGTCAAAGAAGTAACAGAGAAGTGCACCTTTCAAAATCTTCAGCAAGCGGACAAAAGTGTCAGGGAGGACAAAAAGATGGCGGAATTAATGAATGAACTCCAGCTGAATGAAAATCCTACAGTCTACAGAAAAGGTCTCTTTAGTTTTGTCATTATACTAAACATTGACAACTTTTCTTATCCAACCAACGAGCTTGGAAAAGAAAAAAGAAACACAAAGCATTGTTTCAAATAATTAGATAACAATGAAGATTCTTTCTATTTATGATTATTATCTAAATTTGATTCATAATTAGGAAAATTATTCCAAAACCTTTTTGTTTTTCTCTCGGAATTATTTTTGTTCAATGGGATGCCAGCTATCTAATAACAACTAGTATTTTTAATTGTCTAGAGTTAATCAAATTTCACTGCCACACATTAAAATATATGGACATAATGAGTAGTATATAAGAAAAAAGTCCATAAAACAATACAAAATAGGAGCAGAGCATACACGGACCTCCAAAACATCGGAGGTGAGATTATGTGCAATGGAGAAGTTGAGCATACCCTGCCGACCGGTCAAATCCGCCATGAAGCTCCTCTTTTAAATAGAGAATAAAAAAACATTGACTAACTGATTTCATAATGCATGGATCACGTGTGTTTTTGTTGAAAAAGGAATACATGTACATTCTGGTTAAATACGTCTAAATTGTCGAAATAATATCTGATCAAAATTGAGTTTTCCTTCATTTCGAAAAGCTTAAGACATTTTAAAATGCTGTAATACATGTATTTGAAAATTCCTGCAAAAAACAAACAAAATCCTAAGAAACTCAAGTAAGACAATTTTTTCAGATTTCTAAAATAAAAATGTGTCTTTGATTTTCAGGAAAGATTGGAGACTGGAAGAATCACTTCACTGTAGCAATGAATGAAACATTGGACAAAGTATATGCAGAGAAAATGAATGGAGTCGATTATCAAGTAGAATTCGAATAGAACTGGTAGAATTGAAATGGCGTAATTTTCTTTAATCATGTGTTCATATGTTAAACATATAAACATAGTTTTTAGGAAGCCAATACACAGTTGTTTGTGAAAATAATACTGAGTAATGGATGATCACACATTCAAAATGAACATTATGCACGGAACTTACTTCTTTGTCTTTTAGTATATTTTTGATTCACTTGATGTTCGAACATTTATTCTAATACTAATATGAAAATAAAATAAAATAATGGCGACATTTCATAATTTACAATCTTTTTTTTATACCCTCGCTTGAAAAGCGGGAGGGTACAGTGGACCTTCAGATATCCGGATGCTTCAGTATCCAAACGATTTTTTATCGAAATGGAAATTTTTAGCTTTATTTTTGTCTTGTTAAACTCGTAATTCAGGTATTCGGACGCTTCACATATCCGGAAAAATTGACTAGAAACCAAAGCGACCGGAAAAATGAGGCTCCAATGTATATAGTAATCGGTGTGTCCGTCCGTCCGTCTGTCTGTTACGATTTGGGGTACCCATCTCTTATCCGCAACTCCTCCCATATCACTGAATGAAATATGATGAAACTTTCAGAAAAAACTTTACTACATATATATTGCCATTATGCACCTCCTATTTTACTTTTTGATTCGACACATTTTTTGGGTTTCCCACAGCAAAACATAAACACTGCCATTAGTGTATTTATGTATATAAAGGAATTTATGTGATCTAAATACGTAATAAATTGCATATTTTTATTAATTACCAATTTGTTTGAATTCATGGGTCCCGAAGGGTTTTCCGGGTTTTATACTTAAGCGTCCTCTAGTAACGGCTATTAGCCTTATCCTTGTCAGAATAACATTTCGGCTCCATATAGGGAAAAGACCACTAATTATTTTCCCATAGAACTCCATACAAACCTTAGGCCCTCTCAGTACTTTACTATGACAATTTCAGAAAAATCTTTAGCATCATTTCAAACTTTGTTCTAAGCCCTAACAAAAAATACTGAAAAAAATATATGGTCCCATGGCGTTTATAGGTCAAAATTGCAGTTATTTTCAACTTATAGAGATTCGCAGTAAATAACACGCGGCATAAAAAATCAACCCCCACTCCTAAAATCTTCCCTGGTATTTCTATAGTTTCTGTAATATTCCCTCATCCCATCATTTATTTCAAAGGTCATTAATTTTACTTTAAAATGAAAACAATTAAATACCTGATTTCAGCCAATGGCGTAACGCCTACCCATTCAGTATTCTGTTTAATGTTCCATAACAAACAAAGCCATGTGTGCATCCGGGGATTTGGTGCTCTCATTCCTCCAAAATGTGGTTTACAAATTTTACTTAGGTGTGAGTATTTATATTGTGTCACTCATGCAGAGTAGGGTTTTGATTCAAAGATATTGATTTATTGTTCGTTTGCAGATTTGTGTAGAACAGTGAAATATCAATTTCTATCTGAATATCTCAGCGAGAAGGTTCTGTATAGAGGATATTCGGGTTGCATTACATTTGTAATGGTTCGGGCCGTGGATATCGGCCTGGATAGCTCAGTGGTTAGAGCACCTGACTAGAGATACAGGGGTCCCGGGTTCGATTCCCGGTCCAGCCATGCATTTTCTCCTTTCCTGTTACAGATTTGGTGCCGTTGACCACCCCTGGAATTGCAGGTGAAAGTCCTGCCAGGGGCAATAAGAACTTGGGTTGTGTCTTCGAGGGCGAAGACCATTTAAGGAGGGAGGAATGTAATGGTTCGGGCCGTGGATATCGGCCTGGATAGCTCAGTGGTTAGAGCACCTGACTAGAGATACAGGGGTCCCGGGTTCGATTCCCGGTCCAGCCATACATTTTCTCCTTTCCTGTTACACATTGATATGGTAGGCTCGCAGAAGTTGATAAAATTAAACCCGATTTAGTATGTATATACAATAAGGTTCTAATGATTTGTGTAGTCTAGATATTAAGTTATACGACTGGGTTGAGAATGTTTTACTCGCTGAGAAAAATTCGGGGTCATTTGGTGCACAGTGTAATGTCAACATACCAAATTCTTCATAGTAAACCACCAAGTAAACCTGACAGGTTCTTAATAGAACATGAATCCTGCAATGTTAAGGTGTTGTTGGTATTAACAGGCTTTTTAACGCTAAATCAGGCAGAGAATTTGGTTATCATGGTTAGGATGTAAGATTTTTTTTCTTTCATTACTAAAGACTTTGGTCATCAGAAAATGAGAATAAAGTAAACTGTTAAAATGGTGTGCACCAAAAATGAGCACATGGTTACACAAACTATTAGAATAGTAACAGGATGTCGGTTGTTTCAGCACTTTAAAGCTTGTAAGCAGATTGTATAACTTTAATACTTATATTTATAACAATTTAGTGTAATATGGTCAAGTTTGGGTAGGTTACAAGTGCATATAATGTTTTTGGTTTCATTGAAGAACTAAGGCCTGTGGATTGTCAGTATACGATAAGAATTTAGCACTGCAAATGCATATAGCTAGAGTAAATTGCCTTTGTTGTTCATCATGTAGCTATTACAGTCAGTCGCTTATTTTGATTTCATTATTTGCCATTAGGTTGGTTGCATAATTACACAGATAAAGCATATTAAGGTATTCATATTGTATATTTATGCTTTGCTTGGGTTTTTTCTTTGGAAATGCCAATAGTGATTTATTAGCCACATCACGCTCATAATAATAATAATAATAATAATAAAAAAAAAAAAAAAAGGTTGGTTAATTAATTCTAGAAATTCTCTATGGTTTTATATGCTTGTATACAGTGTATATATATCCTGTATGGTTTGGTTACCAAGGTAGTCCATATATAGTTGAACAATTTTTGCTATATATATCCTATATGGTTGGATATGCTTGTGCACAGTATGTATATGTATAAATATTTCTGTATGGTTTTGTAACCAATTTGTCCTATATGGTTGGACAATTAATTTTAGCTATCCTATATGGTTGGATATGCTTGTATACAGTGTATATATATTGAATGGCTTGGTTACCATATTGTCCTATATGGTTGGACGCAGTATATTTATATCCTGTATGGTTGTAATTAATTTGACATATCCTGTATTGTGGGATATGCGTGTATACAGTATATATATATCCTGTATGGTTTGGTAACAAAGATGTCCTATATGGTTGGACACATTATTTTTAGCTATCCTATATGGTTGGATATGCTTGTACAGCAATATATATCCTGTATGGTTTGGTAACCAACTTGTCCTATATGGTTGGACAATTAATTTTAGCTATCCTATATGGTTGGATATGCTTGTATACAGTGTATATATATTGAATGGTTTGGTTATCATATTGTCCTATATGGTTGGACGCGTATATTTATATCCTGTATGGTTGTAATTAATTTGACATATCCTGTATGGTTGGATATGCGTGTATACAGTATATATATATCCTGTATGGTTTGGTAACAAAGATGTCCTATATGGTTGGACAATTATTTTTAGCTATCCTATATGGTTGGATATGCTTGTACTTCAATATATATCCTGTATGGTTTGGTTACCAATTTGTCCTATATGGTTGGACAATTATTTGCCATATCCTATATGGTTGGACATGCTTGTATATGGTAAATATATATACATATACATATCTGGTACAGTTTGGTAACCTGTTTGTCCTGTATAGTTGGACAGTTAATTTGAGATATCCTATATGGTTGAATATGCTCATATAAGGGTATTTATATGTTAATCGTGTGATTGGGTAACCAAGTTTTGTTTTATATGGTTGGACAATTTATTTGGCATAACCTATATGGATGAACAGGTTTAGATACAGAATTTTTATATCCTTTATGCTTTGGTAACTGAGTTTATCCTGTATGGTTGGATAATTTATTTGACATATCCTGTATGTTTGGATATGCTTGTATAGAGAATGTATGTATATATAATTATATATCAAGGATTAATCCTGTATGGTTGGACAATTATTTGACATATCCTGTAGGGTTGGTTATGTTAATATTTATTTAATATTTATTGATCATGAATGGTTGGATAAAGAAGTTGTTCAGTATGGTTGAACACTTTATTTGACATATGTAGTATGATTATAAATATGCTTACAAATATCTTTATCATGTATTGTAAGATAACCAGATTTGTCCTGTATGGTTTGACACTCTGCTTGACATGTCCTGCTTGGTTGGACATGCTTATGTTCTACATATCCTCAGGTGTATGTTTGCCTTATTTGGATAACCAGGTTTGTCTTGTGGTAGTTAGACAATTTGTTTGACATATCCCTTATGGTTGGATATGCTTATAACTATATCTTATAGGTTGGGATAGCCTAGTTTTGTCATGTATGTTTAGGCAATTCATTTGACATATCCTGTATGGTTTGATATACATAGCTAGCTTAGCCCTGTCAAGTTAGGCAGATATATTGCTTGTGTACGAGTACAATAATTTGCAGACCTATATATATATATATATACACAATGATAATAACTATATTGAATGAATCGAGAGCTTGTAGCATATATTTTGGTTAAAGCTTCTAATCATTAACCAACATTGCATTTTCAATTGTAAATTTCATTACGGTGGACTTGTTTATGATTTAACACAAAGAAATTGACACGGTTTATTAAAAAAAAAAAAAAACAACAAAAAAAAACAAACAAACAAACAAACAAACAAAAACCTGGGACTAAAACTGGTACCATTTAATATTTCTTCTTCAGGGATCAATTTTTATTTTAGCACTGATTCCATAAATGCTTTAACAAAAGACTTAGGAAGAGCAATATATTGACCTTGGAGCACCACCTTTTGTCAGTCTTGTGCCTACCACCAAAATAATGGGTACACATTGATTTTAACTCTAACATTTCAGTAGCACCCAGAAATACAGATCAAACAATCAATACTATATTTCAGTGGAAAACAGCAATCTATGCATTTGATTTCTGTCTATACTAGAAAATTCCCAAATGAAACACAGTTTTGTGTAAATCATGCAGAGACAAGTCATGATTTGGCATCATCTAGAAGTAAACCTTGACAAACTGTTGATAAACAAATTAGGATATATAGACAAGTTTAAGGGTATGTCTTTGGAAATGGTTAGTGTGTAATTTGTGCTTCAGGCATTTAAACACAGGGATATAGAGAGGAAACTACAGGTCTTTCCATCTCCCCGTTCTGATCAAGGTTTAGACTAAGGCTTTCA